ATATACATATATATGTATATAAATTAAAACTCTGATGAACCAGATTCTACAACAACATCTAGATTTAAATTTTTATAGGTTTTCATCATCATTTGATGTATTTGCACTCATTGTGTCTACTTTTAATGTTCATTTTAGATGTGTGGTTTTCTTTCTTGTTCACATATATACATTTTATTTTTAGCTTTGCTTTAAACTTCTTGTTTTGTGATTTGTACATTTGTGGGTTAAAATAAAGTTGAACTGAAGGTTGTCTCTTTTCTTTAAACATGTTTGAGGGAAATATTCCTGAGATCTAATAGTTTTGTGTCTTTTTATGATTTTCAGCTGAGTTAACAGTCATTAAAGTATATTTAGGAAATAAGCAAATTTAGGATTTCATGATAAAGCTGGCACCGTTTATTTTATTATTTTTTTAATCTTCAACGCTAAAAAATACATATACATATATATATATATTTTTTTTTTTATGACCAGATCTGCTGGTCTCACACGATCCTCTCCTCCGGAGACAGGACGGGCAGGCTCATCTTCTCAGCTCCGAGCCTAGCTGGTGACTCACAGAGGCCGTTCCAAGACCCCAGCCACGCGTAATCATGAAGGCCCGACACGCGCAGACAGGCAGACAGAGACGGGTCTGCGACAAACGGTGGAAGCGATTTTAAAAAACATTTTACGTGTAAAAAAAATAGTGATTTTTAAATCGCTTCAGCATTTTTTAAAAACATTTTTTGTATAAAAACAAAATATTATTTTATTTAAAAATCGCTTCAACTGTCCGTCCCAGACTGTCCAGTCCGCCTGACTGCCGGGCGGGATCGGGATTCAGCCTTCATGATTATGCGCGGCCGGGGTCTCGCAACGGCCTTATGCGAGTCCCCATCTCCAGCTTCGCAGTGACCAGCGGAGCTCTGAACACACAAGGCTGGTATCCGGAACCCGAGCCTTCAAGTCAGCACATCGAAGGATCTTCCGCGGTGACCAGCAGAACTCAGAGCTGGGGAGATGACGCCCTGCCCGGCCTGGTGCTCCGAGGCTCTGGGGGGAGGACCGAGGTACACCAGCAGAGCTCCATCCAGCTTGCTCTGAATTATGTCGTCGGCCACCAAGCACAAAAAACGCCAGCACGTCAGCATTAGACCAAGATGTTGTCAGTATTGTTTTTTAAATCTTTAAAATAAGTCCAGCCGCTGCTCCAGTCCAAGAAATTGCAAATGGCAGATCATTGTTTTGAAAAGTTTCTGAAGGATCTAGTGACTCCGCCCCCGACTCCGCCCCCGACCAATCAGTGACTGACAGTGTTCTGACGTCACGTTTTAGTACCTCTTCGTTCGGGTTAGAACCACAGAGCCAAGGGTACTGAAAATAGTAACAGGTGCTAAGTACCGGTAATAATGGAAAAGCCTCAGAACCGAGCCAAGTAGGGTCCAGTCGGCCCGTACCGGTACTAATGGAAAAGGGGCATAAGTCAAAGCTGGTTTTGATCATCTCAAACCCACAGCTTTACATTGTTGATGTGCTGCGATTGCTTCCACAACCCTCCCCAACACTCCACTCAGAACTCAGATATGCTGATTCCACAATGATAAACCACCAAGACTTCCCAAAAAAAAAAAAAAAAAAAAAATCCACAATCTGGCTGATATTTCAAGGTGTAGCACGGTCATCATTCAGTGTGAGGGGAGGCTTTCAGAGGCACCTGGAGTAGCGTAAGCAGTGACTTGACCGATGGACATAGATTTTTAGGCATTCATTTTTTCTACTTACCCACTAGGACCACTAGTCTGTGTTTAGCTCCACTTTGTCTGCGGTAGAGGGCAACCTCCTCATATGTGGGCACGTCAGCCATATCATACATTTCACTCTTCTTGGACTCGTACATGGACTTGTTGGTTTTTCTAGTTCTCCAGCTGAGACGGAAGCTGCTCCTGAAAACAGCTGGATGGAAATAAATAAATAAATTAATTAATTAGTAAACAAACAAACAAATATATATTAGGGATGGGGCCGATCCGATGCAGTATCGTAATGGTCTCCGATACCAGCATAATTTACCTATCGGATTTTCCGATCCAACCTGCCAATATTTCCGATCCATGATGCGCATCTGTAGTTGCGCTGCACGTTGGCTTCAAACTATGGAATGGATTTCCTGAACGGAGGCATGTCTCATGAAACCAGAGTAATAAGACCCGCCTCACATTCAGGAAATCCATTTCAGAGTTTGCAGCCAGCTACAATGTGAGGACTGAGTTAACAGCACTGTGGCTAACGGCTAACCATCTTTTCATCTAAACATTTCTGCTGTGTGGAAGTATTTTACACTAGAAACACCACCAAACAAGACAGCAACGTGCAATGTCTGCAGAGCCATAGCACCACATTAAACTGCGGTAAAGTTAGTTTTACGATGGACATTCGAGCT